TTTGGGGTTTTGGGCTTTTGGGGTTTAGGGTTTAGGGTTCAGGGCCAGGGTTTAGTATTTAGGGTCTAGGGTTGAGGGAGGGGTGCTTTATTTGGGCTAGGGCCAGGGTTTGTTGTGACAAGCATCCTCTACATCATCCTGAATAATGCGTGGTCCGAGCCCATACACTGCGGAAATCTCCAAAAGAAGCCTTCCTTCCCTGCGTTTGTTCCAATTGATAGGTCAATAGGTCCTGCCTAGTGCAGAGTACCCCGCAATGTGACACCATAGAGAACCGCCCAAGTGCCCTCTATCACATCCTGAATACCGATTAGGGAGCATAAGCGGGCGATTAGGGGTACCTTGAAAGGTCCATTCTCTAGACCTGGAATGTGCACTCTGAAGGAGCAGCAGGGCTCTATTAGGGGTACCTCGAAAGGTCCTGAATAGCCACGCCTTGGAATATCCTCAACCCTAAACCCTCCCGCCGGAGGTTCGTCGGTGAGCACCCAGCGGCCCAGCCGGGGCCCGAAGCGCTATGCAGAGATGCGGCCGCGAGCTCGGAGATCGACAGCGGATTGTGAGTAGGGAGGGTTTGGGGCTTAAGGCATTTAGGATGTAGAGCTTAGGGACATGTGGCTGAGGGTAGATAGATTTAGAGCAGGGTTTGGTGTGAATATGTCAGAAGCAGGCAGGCAGATGGTTGCTATCATGAGTCTTGGTTTTGCAGCTCTTGGTTCTCATCTCATCAAGGATGGAAGCTCTCCGTGTAGCTCTGGGTTTGAAGCCGGGTGCCAGCATTTCGAAAGTAGTTCTCTAGCCAACAGGAGCTACACGACAAACCGCTTAAAGGTTGTACGTGCATGGGTAAGTGGCCTCATTAGTTTTCAGTGCAGCTGTGCTGAGTCGAAGCTGGAATTGCCTGTTCTGTGGACTAAGCCTTGCTCGGACCGTTCCCAAGGGCACGATTACGTGTCGGCAGGCGCCAGACGCTCGAAGAACGGGCGAAGCGCGCTGAGGCGGCGGGGTGGATAGCAGGAAGCCCCTGTGCTAAGTCTAGCCTTCGTTTGGAGGATCGTTGCGTCACTGTCGCCCTGAAGCAGTGCACGGCTGCCATGCTGTCTGTGCTAGCAGGCAGCTGTCGCCAGGGTCTCTCTTCGCTGTCGACGTGGCGAGCGGGGCTGTGGTATAGTGCTGGAATGGCGCCGGACGTAAAGCTTCGGCTGACTTCCACCCAAACTGTATCTCGCAGGAATAAGCCTTGAGCCTCCCTCAGCCGTCGTAAGAGACCCGACAATTCGAAACTGCAAGCCCCAGTCGAGCTTTCATGCCTCTAAATCCAGCCCAAGACTCAGCGAGGCCAGCGAAACGCATTGGACCAAGGCTGAGGCTGGAAGCTGCTGTGTTTTTTTGACTTTGGTGATCTGGAGAGGCAAAAGGGGCAAGACGCATGGCGACTGTGGAAGGAGTACAAAGTCATCAACTTGTCCTAGCATGATTGCGGACTTTGCATTTGGCAGCAGTGTGGAGGTGTCGTTTTTCGCTGCATGTTGTGGTGGCTGTGTTTGTGGTACTTCTGGAGGTTGTCCTGATCTCGCATTGTTCGGGATTCTGACTGGCATGCACAGGAAAACTTGGCCATAAGCATTGACTTGCACCCCCCAGGCTCCGGCACCCACGCTGCTCGTGCCAGCACCACCCTCGCCGCCCTGGAATGCAGCTCGTTTATTGTGGGGTTCGGAATCTTCTTGATCCGTTCAATATAAAGAGGTTGCGCGCTTCTGTGATTCTGTGGGGATTTGGGTGCAGTGCACCGCACCGTAAGACCGTAAAGGAAACGACGGTTCGTCTGCCTGTGGCTGAATGAAGTTCTGGCAAGGGGTTTCCATTGAACTGCATGCAAGCTTGAGTCCCAACACCTGCAACGCACACGATCGCACACGGACAAGGCCGAAATGAGTCCATGCAGCCCGAATGTCCGCACCTTGCAAAATCCAAAACCCTGAACCCAGACCCTAAACCCTGACACGTCCACCCTAAACACAAACCCTCAGCCCGAAAAACCTATACCCCAAGCCCTAAGCCTTAAAGCCTCAAACCTTGGGGTCTCCCATTCTGCAGAGCTGCCAGGTTCAATCTGTCGCGTCGCCATTGGCAAATGCCTCTCCGGCCTCTGGCAGCTCTGAGGTGGCTTGCGGTTTAGGTTTTAGGGCCTAGGGTTTAGGGTTGAGGATTGAGGGTTTAGGCTTTAGGGTCTTGCGTTCTGACCATGATGGTACTCGCAATGCTGGTGTTATTGATGATGCCACTGATCTGACGGAGGAGTTGAAGGTTGAGACATCACCACTGCATTTCGCTTCTCCAAATTACCCTGTGCATCCTTCTCTGAGCTCGGCTTGGTGCTACCAGTATTCCAGCGTAGGCCGGTGGTTTGGGGTGTTCAGGCTTCAGTGCTTTAGGGTAGAGGCAGCAGAGGAGTGAGACTGGGAGCGTTGGGTCGTTTACCAATTACAAATTATAAAACAAAAATCAGAACCCCCCCAAGTAATAGAAGCTCAGCCAAGCTCTGAAGCACTACGTGTCAGCTCAACTACGTCCCGAAGCCCTGCCATCTACACCCGTCGCTTCGACCTGAAGAGCGACCGCAGCGCTAGGTGAGATTTCCATGACCTTTACAAGACAAACCTAGGCCTGGGAAGGTCCAAGAGCTAGCAACACTAGTGCATGTAAGGACGGGACCTAAAGCAGCCTAGCCTTCGACACGTGCCTCATCTTAGTTGCCACACCCTGAACCCAAGCTTGGAGAGGGAAGTCTGGATCCATGTCGCCATACCCCAACTCCATTCTAAGGCCCATGTATTAAAGCCATTTGAAGCGAACGCCATTGGAATGGCATGGAATGGTGAGGCCTGTCGCGTCTGAGACCGGGCCAGGCCCGGCCACCGATTGCTGCCGGAAGATCTGGTAGTGCCGCTGGAAGCACCGCGAGTCGTGAGGTTCTTGCGCATGTTGTCTGATCCGGTGAAGATTTCAACTTGACTGTCTTACTTCCAGAGGTGTGGCAGCTCGAAATGCAGAGCAGTCAAGCGGCTTGTAAGTGTAGCTTTGCAGTGCCACAACACATTGTTGAAAGAGCGTCGCTGTCTTTGGCCAAGCCATGATTCAGCAGACGCGGTTTGTTCGTCGATGCAGGGTATGCGAGTTGCTGTGAGGCTTTGATGGGTGCTTTGCTGCACCGGCACAGCCTCTCCGCAAATTCCCTGTCTCTGCATGGATGTGGCAAAAGTGGTGCCAGTAGAGGGTTTCGTATGTCGCATATACATATAGCTGTGTGGAGGTGTGTATGTATGTATTATGTATGTTTGTATGTATGCATGTTTGCAGTTATGTCTGAGTCCATATACATGCATGCCTGTCTCTCTCTCTCTCTATATATATATATACACATGTGTACGTATATGAGCATACACATACGTTACATGTATAAAAAATATATATATATATATATTTTTTTCACACACACCCCGATAAATACATACAGACAGAGAGACAGACATAGATACATGCATGCATTCGTACTCACGTACATACGTACATACGTACATACGTGCATACATATATGCACATATGCACACATGCACACATACACACATACACACATACAGAACTGTACGCATACAAAAGCATATGTACGCACACGATGTATGCATATGCGTGCACACGCACACCTACCACTATTTGTGTGTGTGCGTGTAGAAAACATAGGTCATATGTATACAGGCATACACATGCACTCTGTATGTGATATTTATGTATGAGTGTGTATATTTCTACATATACATATACATATGCATATATGCACGTACACACATACACGTTTACAAGTACAAGTACGTACACGGAGGTGTAAAGCGATGGACGATGTTCTTCTCGCCCACCGCCTTGCAGCCGATTTGTTACATGCCGAGATCCATGGGAGATGATTCTTGAAAACATAGTCGAGCCTTTTTCTGACGCTGGCGAAGGCACCCACATGGCTTCATCATGTTTTCATAGCCTAGTTGGTGTTGGTATGCTCTCGAGTGCGGCTTGATGCCTTGAGCTTTTAAACATGAAGCACTTCATGAGTCCTAGGCGTCACGTTAGGGCATACTGCCTAGCCGAGCGTGGTTGCTGTTGCGCAATGTCGACCAACGAGGACTGCCTAACTCTTCGCAAGATAGAAACTGAAATGACGGTGATTACAACTCTGACACCGCAAAGTGCACCAGCTTGAGGCAACTAGTTTTTCCCAGATTGTGATGTGATGTCAGATCCTGTATGCAAAGGCTCTTGCAGTGTGCCAACTTGGGATGAAGCTATGTGTGGCTAGCCAGTTCATCATGGCTGCAGTATCGGCTTGTGTTCAGCTTGCTGCAAATTTCGTCATCCTGGTGATGCTCGAAGGACTTTGTTTGCGCTTTGTGCCATGAGCTGATTTACGAACCAGTGGTGCTGCCCTGCTCACATGCGCTCCGATCTCAGTAAGCGCTGCCTTCGTTTCACAGCACTTCAGTGCCATCAAGCCGCCTTGTGTCTCCAGGTTCTGCAGGGCCTGCCTGGTCGACTGCCTCCACCGCGGTCCCAGTTCCCGGCGCTGCCCCCTCTGCCGGAAGTTGCACGGCTGGAAGTTGCGTGCAGCTGCTTCGTTGAAAACAGCTGTTCCAAGAACTCAGCCTAACAGCCCTCAGGCTGCTCCATGCGACGAGCAAGGAGGCGGGCAAGAAAAACAAGTTGAACGAGCGAGAGTCTCGCTGACCGCCGCAGTCACAGATTTCTTGCCAGAACCCAAGAGCTTGGTGTTTGCGGCACAACGTCCAGGGCTTGTGTCAGCACAGGGCCCTGGAGTCTAGAGTCCATGCATTGGATGCGGTACCGACATTCCCAAGCAAACCATAACATTCTTCAAGCTGTGACCTTTGAGGCATAAGTTCACATCGAATGCATAGATCGACAGATGCACTCGCCTCACAAGACCCACACATACTCGCCCATTTGTCTATGCTCTTTCGGTTTACCTACCTGCCCAAATATGCGTATTCCCCAAACTTTTCTCGAACAGTGTGGTAACACTGCAGGGCTCACGCGAATAAAGAGGTATTGGTCAGAGGATGCGCGCCGGGAGCGGGTCCGATGCACATTGGGGCTTCATGTCCCATTATTTCCACAGTCCTGCTGCCGCGTCCTCTCCGGAAGCACGTTATTGTCAATTCCCCCCTAAACACTCGACCCTAAACCCTCATGCCACAGCATTCCGCCTCTCGGGTTTGTCCGCGTGGTCCTTTGACGCTAGCGCTAGACAAGGCGCGGAACGATATTGGAAGTGTTGCGTTCAAAATGCTGGAAGTGACTGGAGTCCGTTTTTTTCCGGTGTGTGTCTCCTGGTTCCAAAGTCCTGTTCCCGCCACAGTCCTTCGACAATGAGGTGCACGTTCGCCACACACACACACACATATGTTGGCGCAACACAACGCTTAAGGGCCCGCGGATCGATTTTGAGGGTGTTGCGTTCCTTCCTGCCTGCAGCTTCATGGTCGCCGTGGTGGTGGTGGTCCTGGGGTGGTTGTGACGTCCTCGTATCATCGAGGGGTACAGAGCTCGCGGTCTTTCACTGTTTACGGATCCACGCCGACATAATGTGGACATATATAGGTAGTGCGTTTAGTTGTACTGACCTATCCAGCAATACATCCGTTTGTCCACGTATCGACAACTGTCCGTTTAGGCTCCATCCACCAGGGACCCACGAACCTTGTTGTAATTTCTTACTGGCCGAAAGTCTGAGGAACCAGATTTGTAGTTGCAGGACTTGGTACCCTGCGCCGCATTTGGCACGCTCCTTGCCGAGCGCTTCCCAGAGGTCCGAGTTTAAAGGGGGCTCACGACAGCTAGGTCACAGGCAGCGATCCTAAACTTTAACCCTAAACCCCTAAACTCTAAAACCTAAACCCAAACTTCTTGTCTGTCTAGGTCTAGGTGATGTTTCTTCATTGAGCGCTGCGAGTCGCACTGGCAGTAGTCGTAGCAAGAGCTGTCGAAAGCGCTAACTTGTTACTTTGTAGTTTGGCCGAAATAGAAGAAGTGGTGGTGGTGGTGGTGGTAGTAG